TGGAAACGGCTGTGGTGCTTCTGCACTTGAGGAGAGCAGTTGCTGCTTTCAAATCGAAGCCCTCTTTCAGTGACTGCGCATCACAACGTGGATCATTGTGTTCCTGTCTGTGCAGCTGTTACAGGCCTGCAGCTGTGGGCACCATGTGTTCCTCCCTGGTCTGCTGGAAGAAATAGGGGAATGGGTGGATGGATACCTTGCCTGCCTATCAGTGCATACGTCCCTTTATGTACATATGTTTGTAAAGCTCTTTAGCCCCCTTCAAGATGAAAGGCTCTGTATAAATAGAAGCTTTCGATTTTAGTGCATGTTTGTAATACATGTGGTACAGTCCTAAATATGTATTTAGCTGATAGGCACTGTTCTTGTCTGGTGTACAAATATTGACTTTAAAGCATAAATATGTATTTAACCATCAGACCAGAAAAACACTGAAGCAGTTACTTCTCAGGTAGAGATATTAATATTGTATAAACCTATATATACACATATGTTTACATTCTACCACATCACGGTAGAACATTTCCTTTTTTAAAAAGTGAATGATAGTCCCAGCAAACCAAGACAATTCCTGATATTTTTCTCCCGTTGAGGCGAGTCTTGGTTTTTAATTTTCATGTTTATATCTGTCATTATAAAATATGATCTGTGTTGTAGTATGGCTAAAATTTAGAGTCAGTTCTTATAAAATACGAAACTCCATTAATTTGGTGAGATTTTTTTCCCCTTAAAATTTTTTTTAAATGATGGAAATGTTTAAACGTATACTAGAGATAATAATATAAATTCCCATGTACCTGTCACCCAGTGGAGGTACTTGGTATCCTTTTTCAACTACTTTTTTGTTTTATAAAATGTTTAAGTTATCACTGCAATGCAAACATATTAAAGAAAATTTGGATAATGGGAAAAAACACACACAATCCCATCATCCTAAAATAACTATCACACACAATCCCATCATCCTAAAATAACTATCATCTCATTTTGCTATGTCCTTTATTTCTGTTTCCCACCCCCCCCCAAAAAAAAGTTAGTGTTGTAATATTTACTGTGCATTTACTATGTGCCAGGTACTGTTCTGAGGTTTACCGTGTGTTTAATCCTCACAAACTTACAGAGTAGGTTATTATTCCCCCGTTTTACTGATAAGGAAACTGAGATGCTTAGAAGGTAGTAACTTGCCTAAGGTTATGTGGAAAGAAAAGTGACTGACTCTCTATTCTGGCAGAGTCAGATTCTGTTAGATTTATGGTCTCCAAATCCGGCTTCTGAGACTGTGCCCTTTACCATCACACTATTTTGTTATTGTAGTATACATACAATTTTGTTATACCGCTTCCTCACATTTAGTATTACATCATGGGTATTTTTAAATGCTATTTATAGTCTTCATAGTCATTATTTTATAAGGCAGTTCAGATCAATAGCTATGACCTCACTAGCCAATTTATTTCCCTTCAAAAAAGTTTTCACGATGACATTTATTATTTTAACTTTTTGTCTTAAAATATTTTAATTTGTAAAAAAAGTTGCAAAGATAGTACAGAGAATGCCCATATACCCTTCAGCCAGCATCTCCTGATGTTTACATCTTATATAACCATGGTATAATTATAAAAACTAAGAAAGTAACATTGGTACAATACTATTAAATAAACTACAAGCCTTGTTTTGGATTTCACCGGGTTTTTCTAGTAATGTCCTTTTTCTGTTCCAGGATCCAATCCAGGAAACCATATTTTGCATTTAGGTTTCAATGACATGTATTTGTGTTATAGTTGATATTTATCTTTCCATAGTGTTTCAGCTAATTCATAACAGCTATAAGGAATGGTTAATTTTTCTGTGCCTTAGTTTTCTCATGGCAATAACAGCTGCTTTTGAGTTAATAATAGCTATTATTTGAGGATTTTTATAAGACAGTCTCTGTGCTAATCTAATGTGGTGTTCCTCGCAACAATCCCTCCAGAAAGATACTGTTATCCCATTTTAAAATTGGAAAAATTCAGACTAGACCAAGTTAAGTGACTGGTCCAAGGTTTTACAGCTAGTATAAAGCTGAGATTTGAACCAACACAGGCTGACACACCCAACTTAAACTTTTAACTACCATCATATTGGTCAACATTTAGTATAGTATAGCATGTAATAGATGTTCAGTTAATAGTAGCTACTAGTATTCTTGATATTTAAAAAAAATAAATAGTTGATTAATGTTTAGAACTGTTGTTCTGTGATCCCTAGAGATCTACTAGTATTCTTGATATTTAAAAAAATAAATAGTTGGTTAATGTTTAGAACTGTTGTTCTGTGATCCCTAGAGATATGGACAATGTTCTAAGCCCTTGGTGTTGACTGTTTTCCAAGTATCATTTTAAAAATGAAATGACTGTGGAATGAACAAATATTTATTACTCCCATATTATGTGTAGAGACCCTGCTAGGCACTGGAGGATATGATATAATGGTTCAAACTGGCAAGCTCAAAGCAGTCCTAGGCAGTATATGATTAATTATCAAATAAATTCTCTACATGAAGGTCTTAGTAGGAGATCAGAGAAGAAAGGGGTCACTTTAGGCTAGGGGAAGCTTTACTAAGGAAATGGAATTTGAATGAACCTTTTTGAATGGGTAGATTTAGATAGGTTGAGAGGAGAGAAAGGAACAAAACTTTGTATGATGCTAATTCTAATAGTTTGTACATCAAACCTATAGGTATTATTAATTTTGTATATGGGGACACTGAGGCACAATGAAGTAATTTTCACAAGTCACACAGTTAATAAGTGATAAGGCCTAGGTGTGAATGCCAGTTTGTTTGACTTCAAAGCCAATGCTACCATTATACAACCTGTCATTTGATTAGCAATAATATCTAAATTTTAATGTAAAATGAGCAATAGATGCTTTCTTAGATGTTTATCTCTTCCATTAAGGAATCTCACTATGCTAAGACTGGGCTAGCACTCTTCATTCTGTAAGGGTACGATTTTAGGGGAGAGGGGGACAGTCGATGAGGAATTAACTTTGGAAAGAGCATTGATAAAGAGTAGTGTGTTCTTGGTGCTGCTGGGTTGACACCTAATTAGAAGTCAATATTGCAAGCATAATGACCTGGCCAGTTGCTGAACTGACTGCCTGAGTGACACAGAGTCCCCAGGTAATAACAAAAGGTAAGAGTATTATTTGCCTGCCCAGTGCCACCTAGACACAATGTTTGCATTAGCATGCAAATGCTGAAGTAAATTCTTCAGGGCTTACATCTAAGCTGCTTCTGGCCTAGGTGGCTAAGGTTACTATATCACAAAATTTGGTGTAAAATGGGGTCTTTCTAACTACAAATGCATTTAGAGGAAATAGCTTTTCCTTCCTGAGTAACAAAAGAGATGTTGGGTTAGAGGGCCACGTGAGAAGGCAGGTAAAATATTTCTCCCCACACAGGCATTCTATTAACCAGCTTCTTAAAACCATGACCAAAATTACCCTGATATTTGGAGTTTCTCTGTACTATTTTTTTGGATTATCTGTTTCTCCTTCCTTTCTGTCCTTAATGAGCAGATAGACTAATATCTGATCTCAGAAGGTGATTGGATTTTTTTCTGTGTGTTATATCCATTTTTTGATTTGTATTTTGCCAATGGTATAATACTGTAAATAGCTTATATTCATCTGTAGTGCTTCATATATATATATTTCTTAGTGCCGAGAATCACAAATAGCTGTGTGGGAAGCTTCAACCAGCCTGATTACGGTAGATGTGCAATTGGATTGAGGATTGTGTACTCAGAGCTTATGATCACTGGCCCGGTTGAGTCTGGGTGATGCATGTGGCTTTCCAGGGATGCTGCTATTTACATCTGTTAATGGTCCTTCTTGATGGCCGGCTCCCCAATGAGGTGAAATGCAGCAGCCTGGGGATGAGGGACCATGGCTACAGATGTGGCTGGGCTCCATTAGGCACGACCAGGAATGCTCATCTGGTGGGCTTTTTGTTTGGGGGCGAGTACTGGGGGTGGGAAGGGAAAGAAGAGAGAAAGAAATGGGAGGGGGGATGGAAAACATTTATCCAGGTATAGGGAAACAGACAGGCAGACATGAAAAACTGCAGCTGTAACTGGAATGTGAGTGAACAGAAAAGAAACGGAATTAGCGAATAAACAAGTAGTAGGATTGACTAGTTCTCATATAGAGGGAGATTAAAAGAGGAGAGGGCTGTGAGGATTTGGGAAGAGACATGTCACCCCTGCCTTTTAAGTCAATATCATTTATTTGTGTGGCTGGTCAGATGCTGCTGAACAGAGAGAGCAGAGATTTACATAGATCATAGTGCAGCAAGAGATTAGTTCCTTGCATCCTTTGGTTTTCTGGTTCTGGGAGAAAGTGACAAGAGGTGCTCACAAGAATGCGATGCTGAGCTATATTAAATTCTTGCAGAAATGGAACATACCTGAAGCAAGCCAGTGAAGAATGTTGCTGTTATTCCTATCAAATGCTAGAGGACAGTAAAAGGATGCAGAATCACAAAAGTTATGCAGTCCATGAGAGGTGATCCTTTTCTTGTCCTTCCATATGTTGGAGATTTCTAGGAAAGAATCTCCAAAAAAAAAAAGAAGAAGAAAGAAAAATGAACTAGTGTCTTAGTAGATAGCGTAGTAAGTTCAGGAGTTCTGGATTTAATTCCCAGCGCCATGGCATTCTTCCACAGGGATTCTGAGTACATTTTGGCTTTGGTTTCTTTTTTGTTTTGTTTTTTACTTCTTTGAGCATGCCCAAAGATGGAATTGAGATAACTGAAGTACATAGGAAACCAGCTGTTTTCAACATGATCTAAAGAAATATGCTAGAATATGTGTTCTAGTTTGCCACAGGGAGCTTGGCTCTTTAGCAGTGTGTATGCACATCTACATGGTGGCTGTGTCCGATACTTTCAAGGGACCCGCAAAGAAAATCTGCATGTAAGAAGCTCGTATTTATTTGTTTGTTTTTTGCTTTTGCAGATTGGCATGGTGGCTTGGAAAATGACCCTTAAAAGTCCTGAGTATCCAGAAGGCCGAGATATCATTGTTATTGGCAATGACATCACATACCGAATTGGGTCCTTTGGGCCCCAGGAGGATTTGCTGTTTCTCAGAGCTTCTGAGCTTGCCAGGGCAGAGGGTATCCCACGCATCTATGTAGCAGCCAACAGCGGAGCAAGAATTGGATTGGCGGAAGAAATTCGTCACATGTTTCATGTGGCCTGGGTAGATCCTGAGGATCCTTACAAGGTACAAACTAAGGAAAAATAATACTTCAAGACACTATATGGTTATGCATATGTGTGTGTACATGTGTAGAGAGGTGGGGGAGAGGCAGAGGTTTAAATTTGAAAGCCAGTATTGATGGTGAACCATGTTGGAAACAAATTGTCTCTCAATACGTTCACCTGGTTTTTCCTCCATCTCTGAAGATATATTGCTGATTTTTTGGTTGAACACTATGTGAAATAGTAGGTATGTATTTAGCATGTGACATGCTAAACAAAAAAATGTCTGTCTTTAAACTAGTCCACTGTGACTTCTGGGACTTACGGTCAGTCATCAGCAACATCCCTTATATCCTCAGGTTCTTCTCTGATTGTTCTCCAGTCCATGTTCTACTTGAAACCTGCCTGTCCTTTAAATACACTGCTTCCTTTGTAGCCCTCTTAGGAACTGAGTGATTTCTCTGTTTTTGTATTCTCAAGCCTGGAAGGGGAACAGCATCTTCCTAGTGCCTCCTTGCTATTTACAGACCCTTTTCCCTCCTTTCTCTCTGAAAACCTCTGTCTTTGTCATCAAACTGTGCCATATTGCCGCTGCTCATTATTATAGTGTTCCCCAACCTTAGTCACTCCCTCTCAACCTTTGCCTCTTTTAGTTGCTGGGACATCCTAGCCTCTCATTCCCATAATCTCAATTTCAAGCTTCCCTTTCTTTGCCACTCCTCCATCCTATCTTTGCAGCTCACTTTCTTTAGTACCCAAGTCCAACAATCCTTTGAACCCACCAGGACCTACAACTATTAATCGTACTACCTTTCATCTGTTACTCACTTTTTCCTTACATTCTCATTTTATTTCTATCCAGCTTAAATTCTAAGGTCAATCATAGGTTAATTATTATAATCACATTATAGGTACCACCTTTCCTACACCCTCAACTTTTTTGCTTCTGTCTTCATTCTGCTTACCCTGTGCCTTTACAACCCTTGTTTAAATCCAGCTCTCTCCACCTATTCCCATACCTGAACCCACTTAGCTGAACATTGATAGAGAAAAATACAAAGTGCTATTGACTGGTCTTTACATTCAAGTTTACCAACCTTTTCAATGATAGTCTTGCATCTTCTTCTCTCTCCTCAAACCTCTAACACCTTCTTCTCCCATCCTCACTCTTAGCTGATGACCTTGCTGTCCAATTTACTGAAAAAAGAAGCAATTTGAAGACAGCTGTGCCCTTACTCTCCATTGTCTCTCTGAACTTTGGGAGAATGGTCCCTGCTCCTATCTAAGGCCAATGCCTCCTCTTGTTCACTTGATCCTTTCTCTTCTTGCCAACTTAAAGATGTAGGTCAACACTTCTCCTCCCAACCCCTTCTCCGCCCACCCACCCCTCATTTTCCCCCTCTCTACTGGGTCTACCCCTTTAGCATACAAATACTTACCTTGAACCCGCTAGGCACACTCATGCCTCAGCACTTTTGCACTTGTGGTTCCTTCTGCTTAAAATGTTTCCCCTCCCTCCCCCAATATCCTCATGTCTCATTTCTTCAGTTCTTCAGGTCTTTGCTCAACTGACACTTTCAATGAAGCCTACTTTGGTGATTTTCGGTTTTATTTTTTTCTTAAACATCATTCCCATTAACAGTCTATGTTTTACTTATTTAGGTTGTATGTGTTCTCTCTTACTAGAAGATAATTTCCATAAGGCCAGAAATTTTTATCTGTTTTGTTCGTTCCCGTTTTTCCAGTGCCTATCTTGCACATAATAGGCACTCAGTAAATATATGCTGACTGACATATTAATGACACTCCGTGCTACAAAGTGTTCTCGTCATAAGTCATGCAAAATCAATGGCAGATTCATGTCTCTTCCATATTATGCTCACTGTGTCTGCCTAAATGTAGCTTCTAATTCATTGAGTTAAATGGTGGGCATAATTTCTCAGAGTATTTAAAATGTTTTTCTCTGTTTACTTTTTTTTTGGCTGAGTGACTAATTCACTTAAACACTCTATCATATAACTCTACTTTATACGTGAGTATATATTTGTATGTATAAAAGTAAATCAATTATGAAATGTTAGTATAATTTTTAAAATGTAAATTGGCATTAGGAGTTGTTTATTTAAAAAAGAAAAAGGCTTGAGTTCAGTGGTTACTGATTATTAGCACTGCATAGACTTCTGATTTTAATATTGAATATCCAATATTGTGATTCTTTCAATTATCCCATACCCATTTATATTTTTACTAGAGGCCCGGTCCAATTATCCCATACCCATTTATATTTTTATGATATTATGGATTTGAGAAAGTGAAACATAGTAATTCACATAATTCTTTAATTTTGTGTTTATGTCTTTAATAGAGGTGTCACTGGAGATCAGAAAGTGACCTTTTAACCCTAGTGAAAATGAAATAAATGGAATACACTTGGCATTGTAGCTATAAGACATCTTGTTTTCAAGGACAGACAGTCAGTGACTGGAGAAATAGGCACTTCCATCTTTCAAAGGAGAACTGTCTATGCTAGTAATCTATTAGACAGTAACTCTAAGAAGTGATGTGGCAATTTAAAGCTAGCTTTGGAACAAGCTGCATTATGCATGCTTTGCTGTGTCTTCTGGTTATGTGACAATGGCAGATAATGAGTTAACTATTTGTGCTTCACAGGGATACAAATATTTATATCTGACCCCTCAAGATTATAAGAGAGTCAGTGCTCTCAACTCTGTCCATTGTGAACATGTGGAGGATGAAGGAGAATCCAGGTAGGTATATATGTATCAGAATAATTTGGCCCTGGATTAAAGGAAGGAGAACATGATTATTTTTTCCTTACTGTCCTGCTATTCATGACCTTGAAGAGCAATGAAGATTGCTTGTTACATATTTAGAGGTTTTAGGTTTGTATTTGAGGTCTGCCACTTATTAGCTGAAAAACCTTAATTATATTTATAATATTTATTCATTTTATAAAAGTCAGAACATGTAAACAATTATGAATAAAAAATAAAAATCAGCTACAATCCTACCTAGAGACACAATATTTTTAAATTTATTTTTTAATTACAGTTTACATTCAAAATTATTTTTTATTAATTTCAGGCATACAGCATAGTAGTTAAAAAATCATATATCTTACAAAGTGGTCTCCCACTGATATTTTAAGTACCCACCTTGTATTGTACATAGTTATTACAATATTATTATTATTTTTTTATAAACATTTAATCACCTTTATTTATTTATTTTTTGTTTGTTTTTGTTAATCCTCACCCGAGGATATTTTTCCATTGATTTTTAGAGAGAATGGAAGAGAGAGGAAAAGACAGAGAGAAACACCGATGTGAGAGAAACACATCGATTGGTTGCCTCCTGCACGAGCCCTGACCAGGGCCCGGACTGGGGAGACCAAGGTACATGCTCTTGACTAGAATCGAACCCAGGACTCTTTGGTCCACAGGCTGATGCTCTATCCACTGAGCCAAACCGGCCAGGGCTATTACAATATTATTGACTATGTTCCTTATGCTGTACTTTTTTTACATCCTCGTGACTGTTTTGTGACTACCAGTTTGTAGTTCTTAATCCCTACACCTTTTTCACCCAGCTCTCCAACCCCTCACTCCTCTGGCAATCATCAGTCTACTCTCTATCAATGAGTCTGTTTCTATTTTCTTTGTTCTTTTATTTTGCCGAGAGACACAATTATTAAAGTGCAGTATATTCTTGCTTTCTTTTCTATATGTATTTTTCCCCTAATAATTGGGCTGTAATAGGAAAACTTTTGTTAATTTGTTCTTTTCACTAAAAATTATTTTGGGAAAATTTTTGTATATTAAAAAATATTTGAGAATATGATATTTTATGGTTTCATAGTATTTCATTGTAATGAATATAACATAAATGAACATTCAGACTATTCCAAACTTGAACTGTTAATCTCCCTGGGCTGAGCATTCTGTTATATAAACTTTTAGGAATATCTCTATTTCCTTTGGGTTAATTTCTGAAAGTGAATTACTGGTTTAAAAATATATCCATTTTAAATATTTTTTGATGATTTCAGATTGCACTCCCACCGGTAGGTTATAATACTATTTGTTTCTCCTCTTTAATTTTTCTCCACCCTTGCCAACATCAATTATTGTTAATTAATAAAATAGCATATAAACAATTTGTCATTTTAACTGGTATTTTTTTTATTACCAATGAAGTTGGTTAAAGCAAGTTGTTTTTCTTTTCTGAGCTTTAGTTTCCTCATCTGTAAGGTGAAGGCCAAGTAAACTAATATATGTAAAGCCCTTAGCACAGCACTGAGCACATACTAAGCCAGGGGTCCTCAAACTACGGCCCGCGGGCCACATGCAAATACAAATATTGTATTTGTTCCCGTTTTGTTTTTTTACTTCAAAATAAGATATGTGCAGTGTGCATAGGAATTTGTTCATAGTTTTTTTTTAAACTATAGTCCGGCCCTCCAACGGTCTGAGGGACAGTGAACTGGCCCCCTGTTTAAAAAGTTTGAGGACCCCTGTACTAAACAGTTAAAAATCCTGACTGTTGCTGTTACTGTCTTTAATAGTGGAGGTGGTGTTATGTATCTCACTGGATTGTTGTGAGGATCAAAAATGATATATATGAATGTGTTTTGTTAATTGTATTGCACTATGTAAAGATTTTTATAACACTAGAGGTCTGGTGCATGAATTCATGCACTGGTGGGGTCCCTCTGGGTGGCCTGCAGGAATCGAGCCAAAACCCGCAGTCCAACGCCGCCTGCAGCTCCTACCTGCCGCTCCCACTCATCCCGGCCCCACTGTGCCTGCCACGGGCTTGTGCCCAATCAGTCCCGATCGGGTGAGGCTCACGCTGCCACAACAGCGCTTGCCTGCCATGAACCCTGCATCTGGCGCCCTCCCAAGGGGAGTGGCCTGTGGGATCGGGCTGAAACTGGCTCTCCGACATCCCCCAAGGGGTCCTGGATTGCGAGAGGGCGCAGGCCAGGCTGAGGGACCCCACTGGTGCACGATTGGGCCAGGGAGGGACTGCGGGAGTGCTCTAGGGCGTGTCTAGCCCATCTCGCTCAGTCCCGATTGGCCAGACCCCAGCAGCAAGCTAACCTACCGGTTGGAGCATCTGCCTCCTGGTGGTCAGTGCACATTATAGTGACTGGTCGACCAGTTGACTGTCCCCTGGTTATCAGTGCACGTCATAGCAAGCGGTTGAGCAGCCTTAGCATATAATTAGCATATTATGCTTTGATTGGTTGTTCAGTTCTACCATTTGGTCTATTTGCATTACGCTTTTATTACATAGGACTAGAGGTCCGGTGCACAAAATTCATGCACTGGGGAGAGAGGGCGGTCCCTTAGCCCACCTATGCCCTCTCACAGTCTGGGACCCCTCTGGATGTCCAGCTGCCGTGGGGAGTGGACCTAATTCAGCAGTCAATCATCCTCCATGCAGTCCGGGACCCCTCTCTCCTTACTGCCTGCCTGCTCACTGCTCCTTACCGCTCGGCTTGCTGCTCCTTAGCACTGCTGCAGAGGTGGGAGAGGCTCCTGCCACCGCTGCTGTGCTGCCAGCCATGAGCCTGGCTTCTGGCTGAGCGTCACTCCCTCTGTGGGAGCGCACTGACCACCAGGGGGCAGCTCCTGCATTGAGCATCTGCCCCCTGGTGGTCAGTGCGCATCATAGCAACTGGTCGTTCTGGTCGTTCAGCCATAACAGTCCCTTAGGCTTTTATTATATAGATTAAAATTTGATACTACTTTAAAGAATGGTAGCCTCAATGATAGAAAACTCAGATCATAGAGCAGAATGTAGGAAATTTTCACTCTTTTTCATGTAATACAATGGAAGAAGAGGGCACTTAACAGATCATGAACACCTGTGAAGTAATGTGCAGTCCTTAGAAGGGAAAAGATCTGCTTTGCAAGGAAAGCTGACTGGGTCCTTGATTGTTTGTGACTATATGGCTTGTGAGCCTTATAAAAAGAACACATAATCTCCCTCTTCCCTCTGCCAAATTAATGTGGCTCATTAATTTCTTAAAGAAGATAAGCTTTACCTGTAATGTAACTCTAGAAGCTAGAGTCTAGATACAGAGCCAAAGTAAGAATTGGAGAATTTTGGGGAGAAGCTAAAAATAGAAAGGCAAGGGAAACTGGAAAGCAGAGATGCAAAGTCACAAACCAATAGCAAAGGCAAAGAAAAGGAATTGATGGAGGGCTCGAAGTAAAGAAGGGAGCAGAGAAATATGGGGGCAAAAAAAAAAAGTAGTTTAAGAGCCACTATGGGATACTTATTTATTATTTCAATTTATAAAACTATGCCCAGTGCCAAGCCATCTGGGTACACATGGAACAATAAATAATATATGCCCATCTCTACTTCTAACTTTGTATTTTTCCTTTCTTTTATTAGTTGCATTCCCCATCTCCCATTTCCCATTATCAGTTATCACTCCTAATCCCCTGCCAAGAAGACAGATGAGTGGTTCCCTCTGGGTCCACAGGATGCTTTCTGGACAAGTTGGCCAGCATTTCACTTCTACACACATTCCACCTGCCCCTCCAGAGGCCTGTAGCCAGGAACCTTTGTGCATACACTTGATATTTACAGAGGAGTAGGGATAGGAGTGCATTGTCTTGACTTTCCCCTGCATCCCTGTCTTAGAAAGAGAGAGAATTTTTGACCTTAGAAATTGGGCTTATCATTCTCACTACACCTCTGGATTTTCTTGTTCCTATGTAACATTTATCAAAAATTGATGATTTAATGGCTATTGCTTATTGTAGAAATGTGCATTGATTCTGCCTTTAAGAAATCTTTTCTAGAAATTTGTTCTAAAATCTGAGTGCCATCTATGTGGCAAACCCTCCCCTTGTTGCTTTAATTTAACTCGTGTCAACTCTTAGAGGTAGGTACTGTTATCCCATTCCCCATTTTATAGAAATTACTGTTATCACCAAAGTCACATTGATGTGTGTGTCAGAGCAGGGATTTAAATCTATCTACTTAGTAATACTTTAAGCAATAAAACAATTAAAAAAAATAAATCTATCTACTTAATTCTAGATGTTGCTCTTTATTTTATACCATACTAGAGGCCTGGTGCACAAAATTCATGCATAGGTGTGGTCCCTAGGCCTGGCCGGCAATCGAAGCGTGAGCATCTGGTGTAGAAGGGCAGGTCCCAGCTGACCTCTGGGCCCTGGGACCCCTGGGTCCCTGTGCGCCCCCCTCCGCCTGAGTATTCAGCCTCTGCCCAGCTCCCTCAGTGACTGGGAGCTGGGCGGTGGCCCCATTCCCCGCCGCTGCCGCTCGTCACCATCTGCGGGGCAATCGGTGGGGTGATCGGGCCCCACTTGCACCCCCCTTGGCCTGGCCCCGCCTGCTCATCTTGCCACGGTCCCACTCTCGTTGGGGCCCATTGGGGCTGGCAGCACCCCTCCACTGCCCCGCTGCCAGGGCCCCATTGCTGATTCCTGCCGTGTTCCACGCCACCCCCTGGTGGTCAGCGCACGTCATAGCAAGCGATTGAACTCCTGATCGAAGGGACAATTTGCATATTAGGCTTTTATTGTATAGCATTGCATCTAGACAAAAGAGGAACCAAGATACGAAGGAAAGATATATGAATAAAGATTATAGGTTATATATAAGCTTCCAGAATGCTTTCTGTATGCTTTTAGTAGCCTGTTAATGGTGATTATTCTTTTAAAAGATTGTTGCTATTGTATTAAACCGTCATAATTTGGCATGTCTGTATCCAATAGGTACAAGATAACTGATATTATTGGGAAGGAAGAGGGACTTGGAGCAGAGAACCTTCGAGGTTCTGGAATGATTGCTGGAGAAACCTCATTGGCCTATGATGAGATCATCACCATTAGCCTGGTAAATCTTGCCTGAATGTGAAATTTTTGAAGAGCTGACTGTGTAGCTGGGATTTCTTTTTTGCCCCATCCCTGCTTTCAGTCCAAAATGAGAGCATTTCTTCAAGTTTTTATATCTGCAATTTGATTTTAATTGTACATAATCATGGGAAGATAGGATAGTGTAAACAATTGAATTTCTCAGATAAACCTGATATCTACTTTTAGCCTTTAGTTTAATTTATTTCTCTAAATATTCTATCAGAGTTTTAACAGCTTAAATTTCTTCTCCTCTTACTACTTTCTTTGTTCATACCTCTAATATCAGTGCCAAGCATTTGTGAAATGGGCAAAAATATGAGACATAAAGGGGCTAATATTTGAGTCATTGTATGAGTTCTATATCTTCTTTTCCTTGACCAGGAAATTTCTATTTTTAATATTGTTATTAGCACATTAAGCGCCCAGCTTGTTTTGTCTTCCAGACAGAAAGTATAGTGTCAGTCATCCGTGACTGACTGGGCGCTTGACGTGTTAAACAAACTTTATAAAAGCAGTATTTTTTTTTTCCTGTTAATGTGAGTTTTACATATCTGTGCCTTAGTTTTTACAACTTAGGAGGGGATATAAATATGTGACTTGTAGATTTTTATTTTTTTTTAAGGTTACATGCCGGGCCATTGGAATTGGGGCTTACCTTGTCCGGCTGGGACAGAGAACCATCCAGGTTGAAAACTCTCACTTAATTCTGACAGGAGCTGGGGCCCTCAACAAAGTAAGTTTCTAGAGAGGTTGACAGAAGTATCAAGCTGTCTGAAGGTTACTGCAAATTCTTGATTCAGGATCCTGATTGGGAGGATGCCATGCAAGCCATGCCTTCCTCAGTCTGTCTTTTCACCTTTCCTTCCATCTTCCCTAACCATTGCCTTGCTTGCCTGTTCATTCATTCATTCAACAAATATTTTGAGTATCTACTATGTGCTGAGCACTGTTTCAAGCCCTGTGGATATGTTAATGAACAAACCGTATAAAACTCCTGCTCCAAAGAGTTTACATTCTAGTGTTTTTCTAGAAAGAGAATTAATTGAATGCTTCAATTCTGCCCTCCCTCCCTTTTTCTCATCTATGAGTAAGGGAAATGATATCTATGTCCAGACATAGAGCTGTTCTCTGAAACTTCCTCTGAATGTGTTGAGGATATCAAGTTTTAATGTGTTGAGAAATCTGTGAATGTACCTCTCAAAAAGGGCATGTAACATGGTTCCTTGTACATAGACGAAGTACTTGGACAATATTGAATGGAAAGATGGGTGGATGGATGGAAAGATTGCTGGGAAAGAGTGTAACATAGAGGTTTATCTTCCCTTCAAAAGAAAAGTTTGTGCCTTTTCAGTCTAAGCTCATTGGGGCTTTTCCCAAGGGGGATATAAAAAGGTATGGTGAGGTCACTTCTTGTAAGAGTGAAAACTACTACCTAAGAATACCTGAATATACAAAGGACAATGTAATTTGACTTCTTTGCAGGCATAGGAAAATTATTTTCTCTCCAGAGCCTAGGAATATGTAATAGTCTGGGACTGGCTGGCTGACCTTATACAACGCATATAACCTCTCAGCTCCTCAACTTCTTTATCTATCAAAGGAGGATAATTTACATTTTTAAATAATACTGTGGAGATCAAATGAGAAAACATAAGTACCTAGTACTTGGCATAAAGTGCTGGCCCTCATTACAATTTCAGTTCCCTTTTCCTCTCTCTTACGTAGTTTGGTGATTGAGCTTGTGGAGTTACACACATGCTAAATTGTATTGGATAATGTATTTACCAGACATGCACTAACTTTTTATCAAGCCTTGACCTTCAGGTAGAAGAGTAGGAATTAAGTGTCCTATCCTATCACTCCCATTTAGAAAATGTTGATAGTTCCATTGGTCCAATTAGCTTTTGTTGATGTCAGAAATGAGAAGAATGGTTTGATGTGATCAGCTTGTTCTCTGCATTAATGTGTCCTTCTCTGGGCTTGCCTTTCTCTCCAAGGAAAGGCAAAGATTGTGAACTGCCAATAGTGAAGGAAATAATTCCAGTGGGAGAAACTGCTAAATGTTCTACATTTTTAAGTTGCTCTTTTGCATATTTTCTTAGGATACAATACTGACGAATGTTGAAGGGAGTTGTTGATTCCATTATTTGTGAGAATAGAATTTAAAGAAGACACCTGTATTTCCATAATGTTTCCGTGCCTCAACAAAGAGCTAATTTCTGAAATGTATCTTAATTTCAGTGAGTTTATTTTCTCCCTGATACTATGTTTACACAAAGAATATTACAAAAAGCAAAAGTTTTGTTGGGGTGTTGTTGCTCGTTTTTTGTTTTTATGGCTAAAAACTGGCATGAGTGCCTTTAAGAAAGCTTTAAGGATTTTTTTCTTCAAATCTGGTTAAATTGTTCCAAACAAATTCATCATATTTACCATCTTCTTAGCCTACGGGGCTGCTTGTTAAAGGAGAAGTCCAGTTGCAGGAGAAAAGACAAGTGAAGCTGCAGCTGTAGCTCAACAACAGTGCTCATTTCCAGGAGGACATGATCATTTGTGGCTGAAGGGAATGATCAGTTATAGAGGTTGCCTAATCCTGCTCCTTCCGCATCTCTGTTTTCATGTCAGTGGCCTCTTAAGTATAGGGTCATGTTGCTGGAGGACACACGATTTCATGCAGATTCATTAAAAATGTCCTATCTGCCCCTTTGCCCAGTGATGGCGAACCTTTTGAGCTCGGCGTGTCAGCATTTTGAAAAACCCTAACTTAACTCTGGTGCCGTGTCACATATAGAAATTTTTTGATATTTGCAACCATAGGAAAACAAAGATTTATATTTTTGATATTTATTTTATATATTTAAATGCCATTTAACAAAGAAAAATCAACCAAAAAAATGAGTTTGCATGTCACCTCTGACACGCGTGTCATAGGTTCGCCATCACTGCCTTTGCCTGTCAGGCATGAGAAAGGAAACTGTACGGAGCTACATGCTCAGATTGCTTCCTCTGTCTTTCTGTGCACTGGTGACTTTCCACATCTCTGTTTGCCTTTCTTTCTGTAAGAATCTCTCTCACAGACTCTGGGTGTGCAGGTCACTTAAGTACATGTCTCTTCCCGTGTGAGTGCTGGTCTCTCTGTCTCTTTGTGTCTATCTTGCTTCTAGATCCCTCTTTCTCTGTGTGTGCCTCCCTGAGTATCCATGTGTGAGGACGTCTTTGTGTGTGTCTGAAGCACTGTAGAGCCAGCCTCCTTAAGCCTTGACTATTTTGCTCGTAGTATGTGTGTGACTGTGTGAAGTGGAAATGTACGTGGTATATGCAAGCTTTAAGACGGAAAACATTTGACCCCCACCTTTTTGAGTCTTCATCCTTTATGTTAAACATTGGGGTGAAGAAAAAGAAGGGAGGGGGTGTGCAGAGGTTGTAGGGAAAAAATCTGTGTGTGCAAGTGCCGATCCCGTTGACCCCTTTGAAAATTGAAATAATGATAATGCGCGTCTCCTGACTGCATCAAAGTATCAGCACATCAAAAGCCAGGAGGCATGAAATGCAAATGATAAAGTGAAAGCAGATGGATTGTGCATGATCGCCTGATGCCCAATGAATTTTAAAAGGTGCCGGTTTGCAAATGGGGGGGTACAGATGAGGGGTGGGGGGACTGAAATAAACACGTTATCCCTGCAATTTTTTTGTTCTTGATGCTCACCCCTGACAATATTTTTTCACACTTGAGTGAACACCCACTCCATCTCTCTCTCTCTCTCTCTCCCTTTTCCCCTCTCCCTTTCTCTCTCTCCCCACCCTCACCAACTCCCCCTGCCCCATCCCCCGCCCCTTACACATCTCAGGTCATGTCGCTGCAGCTCCGGTGGAAATAATAAGATATAAACCACGAGGTTGTTATTTGCATAGAAATAGCATGGAGCCCCAGGCAGCAAGGGAGAAGGACACAGGGATCATTTGTCTAAAATTTTAATGAAAACTTTTGCTGAGGCAGATATTTTTTTAAAACTTTCTTTCTCCCTGCTTTTCTCCCCATCCCCACCCCCCTCAAACCCCATCTCTGATTTGACTTAACATGATTCAATCTGAAGAGAAAGGGTGAAAGGATTGACAGTCCACATAGCATATTCCCGTAATGCAGCAACATGTCAATTGTTTATTCCTTTAATAGATATGAAGCTGGAGACACACACATTTCCAATTTAATACAGTGCATGTATGTGTCCAGCCTTTATGGCTACATTCCATCTCAGTATACACATGGTTGTGTCCCGTCGTTAGCCAACCTGTTTTAATTAGTTTAGACCTTCCTACCTTTTGCTTCCAAAGACTATTCCTTTTTAAAGGATTTCTTTTTTGTAGCCAACAGGAGTAACCTGCATATAAAGTAAGAATATTCCCATAGTTTCCTGTTCTTTTACTTTCAGTGGTTTTACTTACACGTTTTATTCACGAGCACCAAGTTTTGCCACCGTGTCTTTTGTTCTAAAACCAGAAAGTGCTTCCCACATTTGTATTTTTATCCTTTCCCCTTGTGATCTCTGTGTTTATGTATTCTCTTTTTCTGTCTGTCTTGCTCTTTGTTGCCTGCAGTTATTTGTAAAATGTTACCAAGTTGAGGAGAGAGACAATATCTGGGTTTTCTTGAGTGCTGCAGAAGCAGATTTGACATTTGTACTACAGGCAGTGGGCTGGTGATTAAAGGCAGTCTGGGTGACTTTATTGGAGACTTAAAATCAAGAACATCTGTCTGGCTCCTTGCTACCTTCTGGGTGGGCTAGTGGTGTCAGAGCCATTTATAGGTGAAGGCTAAAACAGTAAGAGGTAAAGTGACTTGTTTCCATTGACAGAAACTAGATCAGCGTTAGAACATGAACTTCACGTCCCCAAGTTTCAATTAAAATGGGCTCAGTCCTTGTGTCCATAAGGCCTGAAACGAGAAGGTAGTCCGGTCATTTTCCTTCTTGTCCAAATGTCATGAGAGTGATGACATAAATAAGAGAAGCTTCTACGGCCTGCTATGCCATGTCACTCAAAGTAGTAGATCATCGGTTCCCAGCTCTACAAACCGTAGGCTGTGAGTGGCAGATTCCTCAAAATGCCTCGCTGAGTGGGTGAGGGCAGATTTGATGGATGTGACAAACTACCCTTCTTGGCCTGGCAGAGGCAGTGACCTATGTGCTTGGGGAACTGGTGATAGACCTGTAAGGGGCTGAGACAATTTGTAGAGTCAGGTGCCACTGGCAGTAACTTTCCAATTTACTTCTCTTTCCCCACAACTCCTCCTCTTCGTTTCTGTTTAGTATGTTAAACACAATTTCAGGTGGTAGATAAGGCTGGAAGGACCTCGTATTGTAAGGGGCACTGATGTAGACTAGAACCTTCTAGTTCTCAGCCCATTGCCTCGGACTTGGTGAGAGCTCTCTCTGTACACAGAGAAATCAGAATTTGCAGTTTATGGCTTGTCCTCTGGACAGTAACTGTCTATGGAAGTAAGGCCTGTGCCAATGGCTATGATAGATGGGTTATAGATCATTCAGGAGGTTTGATTTGTGACTTCCTTGTGATAAGCATTTTAAAGCTTCTGATTTAGGGGGGAAACATCCCATAATCTCATCCCCTTAGCAAAATCAGGCCCCTATTTCTGCTCCATCTGCCAGGGAAAAAGAAAGTATATGATGGGTGTGGCTAGGACTATATGTGAGGCTGGTAGATACATATTATAATGTATCT